TTAATTAAGAACCACCACCCCCACCAACACACACACACACACACACCAGCAGCCCCTGGAGCTTCCTTTGTGCATACATGTAGTTTTTCTCTCAGAGAACAGCCAGAAGGCATTGCTAGATTTTTGTATTTGCAATGTACATATATTTTCTACTCTTCTGTAAAAAGCCTTAGCATTCAGGGCAATCTGTAATTGCATCAATACTGAAGACCACAAGGTCTGGAGGGACTGGAAGACAGTGATGAGAAGCTGAAATGTGAAGGTCTTGTATCAAATTGTGCCTTTGCAAGGAAATCATACTCTGATCAAACCTTGGCTTAATGAGTTAAGATATGCATCATAAGCCTTGTGTCCCTGCTTTCCACTGCAGTTAGTCTTCAGTTATTCATAGGCTATCGAGGTATGGAACAAGCCAGGATCTTAAATCGCAGTTTGGAGTTGGTTTAAGATCTTGGCTTGTTCTAAACTTGGTAACTTGCAATTAGGATGAAATGGGAGACTATGGTTACCTGAAGATTTCCAAGGTTAATTGTGCTAAGCCAAGAAGGATTGGGGGGGGGGGGGTGCACATACACAGAGAGGCATGGTCTTTGTCCATCTTTCCACTTGGTAATTCAAGATAATACTACCTGAATTCAGACAGGTCCTTTCAGCTACAGCTATATATGAATAAGTACTGTTGATCTACTATACAGAATACTTAGCAAGAATTGTCAAGTTAAATGTGCAATACTTGCACTGGTTAAAAGTATAATGTATTTGTATAAGTATACAGAACCTTATATTTGGCACATTACAAAGAAGGAAAGGACAATCCCAAGGCCAAGGCCAAGGCCAAGGAAAATAAACAACAGGAAGGGGAGGGAAATGAAAGCATAAATAAGCAGGGGAAGACTATGCAGCCATTTAATATCCCTCTTTCCCATCTTTCTTCTATTGTGGAACCCAAAGTGGCTACATGTGGTTTCCAGGTGGTGTCCCCTCCAACCACTGAGCAGACCCAGACCTACTAAACTTCAGCATGTTTCCTGCCTCATGTGCCTTCAGTTCTAGCTGCAGCAGCATCTAGAACAGGGGTGCAGAAATGTCTAGAGCACCCATGTGCTGCTCAGTGGGCTCACCAAAGGCCAGGTGACATCAATGGCCATGGATCTGCCAGGGATGGTCTCCACCCAACCCCTTTTTATTCTCCCCGACTCTCTCTCAACATTGAGAAAAAGTCTCAGCCAGCACTGGGTAGAACAGCAGCTCCACCCATTGCCAACTGAGTTCCCAGGTTCACATGCATCTTGTCATTCCAATGACAAACACCTTGCAAACAGACCTGGGCAATGGCTTTTCCTAGTGCCGGCCAATTCTGCAGGTTCATGTGGCACTTGCCATTCTCAGTGGGGACTACAAGCAGACTGTAAACAGAATCCAAGAAGGCTCCTTTGGACAAGCAGGAGACTCTGACAGGGCAGATGAGACCAGGGTGCCAGTGGTTCCACACCATGGCCCAGAGAGATGTGCCACATATTTCATGGAATTGTAATGTATGCATTAGACCAGAAGCCAGCAGTAAAACCATGGCATGACCCGAGCAAACACAGTGCTCAAATTTCACTGATTTTAGTGGGAAAATTGAACACAGGCTAAGTTCTGCTGCATTCTTTCAGATGTCTGATGTAGACCATACAGGTAGAGTGGAAACATTAGAAAGGGTTCAGAGGAGGACAACATGGATAATCCTGGGACTGGAAGCAAAGGCCTATGAGGAGAGATTGAAAGAACTGGGTATGTTTAGCCTCAAGAAGATAAGACTGAGGGGAGATATGATATCACTCTATAAGTACTTGAAAGGCTATTACAAAGAGGATACAGGAATAACAGGCTCAATTCTGGCTAGATATCAAGAAAGATTTCCTGACAGAGCAGTACAACAACGGAACCAATTACCTGGGAAGGTAATGGGCTCTGTCGCAATAGAGGCATTCAAGATGCATCTGGACAGACATCTAGGAGGGATTCTTTAACCTGGAGTCCTTAACCACTGAGCTTGGGATTGGCCCTCTGCCCCCTTCCAACTCTGCTATTCTCTGATTCTATGATTTTGCCTGCTCAAAACCCTTTTGTCTGCCTCTGTGCTCCTCATGGTATGCTGGGCGATGGAGCTGGCAAGCTATTCACCCAGAAGGTGCATCATATGCCTCAGTCAAAGAAGCAATTACAAGACTGAATTAGCTTATATTTCTGCATGCCAATAACCCAATTTGTAACACAGTCATTTTAGAAAAATCAGTAGCATATGGCGGATTCTATGAATTCTGGAAATCATATGTAATGAACACTCTGGCATCAATTTGCAAATACATTTGTCTGCCTTTTGTACAGCACTGATAGCATGTCTTGATCCGATTTAGTTCTCACTCCCACATGGATGCTTTAACAAAAAGGCCTAATAAAGAAAAAGAAAACTGTCAGCAATGTACTATGGAGATTTCATGCTCAAATTCCAATGAATTATGCCTATATAAGAAGGCATAATATTACTCATCCCTACAGCAGACAGAATATGAATTCATGTTAGAGTAATTTATTGACACAAAACTGTGCTAACTTAAGAGCTAAGCTGAACTACTTCTCAAAACATGACAAAGTGAATTCAACCAACAGCAAATCAGCATTAAACAGGGAAATCCTGATGACTGCTATGGGCAATTTTCTTTTGCAGCTATTTTTCTGCTGTGGAGATCAGTTCCATTGCCAAACAAATTGCATAAGAAGAATAATTTTCTGTACAATATTCACCAGGTGAGTATTATTTAGGTACTAGAGGAAATCTTTTGCTCCCATTTGGGTGGCTCTTGAGCATGAATTTGCACAGATGTGTGGCAGATTTTTCTTAACCTTTATTCTCCTTGTAATATATTCAGGTATAAAAAAGCATGGCTGCCGGCTGAGACCTCATGGAGGAAAACCATTCAGCAGCTCAGAGGAAAGGCCAGTCTGCAACCTTCTTCCTACCCTACCACTGCATCTTGATTCCTGAGCAAGAGGAACTTGTGAATCGATTTTCTACTTGCATGGGGGCAACTCCCACCTGCTTTCCCAAACTCCACCTCCCTTACCACCCCTTGGTCAACTAAAGAAGCAGGAGAGATGTCTGCTGCATATGGAGAAAGTCCTTTGGTCACAGACACAAAGCTTTCAAATCCAGGATCATTTTTAAGTTTACAGATAAAAGAAAGATCAGACAGGTAGTATCAAAAGTAAACAGGTTGTCTTCTCCAGAGCTTGCACTATGCAAAATGAAAGAAAAATCTCAAACTTACATGTGAGGAGCAAGGTACGCCAGTGACGAGGGGTGGATGTAGTTTCATAAAAAGTATGTCCCATTTTTATCCCTGTAGAATCAGGGGAGGGGCTGACAGGGGATGAGGATCCTGCAGTCAAGGATAGCCATCATGATTTTGGTAAGTTTGGGATTTTTTTTTTTCTCTACTTGGGCATGGCATACATTAACAGGCACACATAGGGGGATGGGATGCTAACACTTTCAACAATCCTGACAGGAAGAATTAAGTGGCATGAAATGGACATTTCCAGCTTACTCCTGGTAGACACAGAATCCATTGTGTATGTGTGTGGAAACTGGGTTCACTGAGGATCTTTTTTTCACCTTTTGCCCTGTAGGAATTGCAGAAACCTTCTGAGACACTTAACAATCAGCTGAGAACTATTTCTGACAAAAACTCTACAAAATCCCCAAAGCAAAAAAAATGACATACTGCAATCAAAATTACCAAAGACAGAGTCAGTCTGTTAGCACAGCTGACTCACTACATTGAGACAGTGAAGTAACACATTATTGCCTGGACAAATATGTATATACTAAATCCAAGGGTTGGGAAACTGCCCACAATCAGAGATGTTGAAAGGAAGCACATCATCTTAAACCACAAGAAACAACCAAAGCTGCTGTTCTAGAGGTAAGAGACCTGTTTAAAAGACTATGCTTCTTAGATTTTATTTATTTATTTATTTATTTATTTATTAATTATTAAAACATTTTTATGCCGCCCCATTCGCCGAAGCCTCGGGGCGGCTTACAACAATAAGTTAAAAAATAATTATAATATAAATTAAAAAATATTATTTTCCTTTGATTTTATTCTGCTTTAACCTTTTAAGGTTTTTACATTGCTTTACTATGGTCTTATATTATATGGTTGTATTTTTTTTTAATTGTGACTCACGCAAACTGCTGCAGCTGTTGGGCAATACAGAAATGCAATAAATACATAAAGGAATAAGAGAGAATGGCCTTGCTCTTGTCTTCCATTTTCTCTCTCCTGCTCTGTATCCTCTCTCCCCTCAAGCATCTCCTGCAAAGATTTTTGGCAAAGACAGACGCTGTTCCACTATTTCAGTTGGCTTTCCACCTGGCAGGTGAGGGTGCCATTCTGTCCTTCCAATCTATAGAGCATAAGGGTTTGTAACAGGGTATCTGAACACACAGCTGCCATTTTAAAGACCTTCCCACACGGATGTCTGGGAAATCCATAATGGACACAAATGAATTCAAATGTTTAAGAATCTAACCCACAGATACTGTAGACGACCAGGTTTTCCTGAGTTGCATGTGGATTTTTTGTATACTTTCTGTAGGTTTATGCAAAATTTTTCATAAAAATACAGAAAATAAAACAAAGGGATCGCAAATGTGCATTGAGTGCATTTCCCCCACAGGTTAAACTGTGAAAATACACCCTTTGGGTACCAATAGGTTTAGGAGTGCAAATTTGTGCAAATGCATACAAGCATATTTTGTATGAGCAGACAATGGAATGAAAACAGCCTGACAAACTGCAAAATGTAGACAGAATGTATATTACAATCACCATACATCCCCAGCCTCAGATAGATTGTATAAATGCCTATTTCAATCACAGCGAAGTAGTAACATTTCTCAATATACTAAACAAAAGCATCTTAGAACAGTTTGCTGTTGAACTAACCTGAATAGAGGTAACTCTCAACTTAATCCTGAGTGATGCTTCCAGGACCTAGAGTGAGCGATGAGTGCTACAAAATCAATAGGAAACAATGATAATTTAATTTCTATGTAGTCATGGGTGGTTGCAACTTCTCTAAAATGAAGGGAGTGGTTTAAAACAGGGAAAAGGGAAGTCAGAATAGTCCAAGCACACTGGTGCAGTCAAATGCTCGCGGATTACTCAAAATCACAGTAACAGAAGCTCAGCTAGGGTGTGTCAGAGGTCAGGAAACAGGGCACCAGGTCTAAGAGGTCTCCGGCATGGTTAACAAGAGGTACTAAGGTAGCTATTAGCGATAAATGGTCTTCCTTCAGAAAATAGAAATCTTGCCCAAATGAGACCAAAAGAAAGAAAGAAATGCATAAAGAAAATGCAAGGAATCATAACGGAGGCAAAAATGGTGGGCGGAGTTTCAGGAGCGTATCACCAATAAAAGTAAGATAAACAATAAAAATTCTTTAAATACATCAGAAGCAAGTCACCGGCTCAGATGGTGGTTGGACAACTGAATGACAAGCGAATTAAAGAGGTACTAAAAAACTGATGGCAAACCTTTTAGAAACCGAGTGCCCAAACTGCAACCCAAAGCCCACTTACTTATGGCATGGCCCCTGTGTGCACCCCAACCCGATGCTCGGCTGCTGGGGTGATGCTGGGGTGACTTGGCCCGTGTACTGACACAGAGGGCTCTGCATGCCCGCTGGAGCACGCATGCCATAGGTTCACCACCACTGCCCTATCCCTACCCTGGTACATACTGCTAACCCTAATATAGGGCAAAATTTCTATTGAAAAGAGGGCAATTTTGAAAAAGCCTTCCTTGAGAAGCTTTTTATTTATTTATTTATTTATTTAAAACATGTTTATGCTGCCCTCCCATCGCAACAAAGCCTCGGGGCGGCTCACAGCAAGAATAAAATATACAAATAAAACAAATTATACAATAAAAATATTAAAACCTGGTGCATTAAAAGATTTAAAATCCTATAAATACCAATAAATTAACAATTAAAATAAGTTTTAAATAAAAAGGTCTTAGCCTGGCACCGAAAAACAAATAACGACGGTGCCAGGCGGACCTCTCTGGGGAGCGCATTCCATAGATGGGGCGCCACCACAGAGAAAGCCCTCCTCCAGGTACTCACCCTCCCAATTTCCTTCACGGAGGGCTCCCGGAGAAGGGCATCTGTTGCTGATCTCAGGGGGCAGGAGGGCATATATGGATGCAAGTGCTCCTTTAGATACCCAGGACCCAAGCCGTTGAGGGCTTTACAGGTCATAACCAACACCTTGAATTGGACCCGGACTTCAATCGGGAGCCAGTGGAGCTGACGGAGAACTGGGGTTATATGAGAACAACACCCAGTCCCCGTCAGCAGCCTGGCAGCTCTATTTTGCACCAATTGAAGTATCCGGGCCGTCTTCAAAGGTAGCCCCACGTAGAGCGCGTTACAGAAATCTAATCGGGAAGTTACTAATGCGTGTGTCACTGTCGCCAGGCAGTCATTCTCCAGGAAGGGACGCAGCTGATGGATCAGCTGAAGCTGAAGGAAAGCGCTCCTCACCACCGCCGTCACCTGAGCTTCTAAAGACAGCTCAGGGTCGAGGAGCACTCCTAAGCTGCGAACCCTGTCCCTCAGAGGGACTGCAACCCCATTTAGGACAAGGCCCAAGTCCCCCATCCCAAGGCCCGAACCACCCACCAACAGGACCTCCATCTTGTCTGGATTGAGCTTCAGTTTATTGGCCCTCATCCATTCCCTTACCTTGGCCAGGCACCGGTTCAGCACAGCCACTGCCTCACCTGGATTGGTGGAAAATGAGAGGTAGAGCTGGGTATCATCAGCGTACTGATGATTCCGTAGCCCACACATCCTGATGGCCTCTCCCAGCAGTTTCATGTAGATGTTGAATAGCAAGGGGGACAAAATGGGCCCCTGCGGAATTCCATGGCAAAGCTGCCATGGCGCAGAGCCATAGTCCCCCAGCACCACCTTCTGAAATCGGCCGTTGAGATAGGAGCGGAACCACCGCCATGCGGTGCCTCCAACTCCCAATCCCGCTAGCCTATTCAGAAGGATACCATGGTCGATGGTATTGAAAGCCACTGAGAGGTCCAGGAGAACTAACAGGGATGCACTCCCCCTGTCTCTCTCCCTGCACATTTCATCGTACAGGGCGACCAAGGCAGATTCAGTGCCGTACCTGGGTCTGAAGCCGGACTGAAATGGGTCCAGATAATCAGTTTCATCCAAGAGTGCTTGGAGTTGTCCTGCCACCACCTGCTCTAGCACCTTGCCCAGGAACGGGATGTTGGCCACCGGTCTATAATTGGCGGCCACCTCTGGATCCAGGGATGCCTTCTTTAGGACTGGCCGGACTACTGCCTCTTTTAAAGAGGAAGGTACCCGACTGTCTCTTAAAGAGGCGTTGACCACCTCCAGGATCCAGGTCACAATCCTGTCCTTGGCATTCTTGAGTAGCCAAGATGGGCAAGGGTCTAGTAAGCAGGTGGTAGGGCATACTTGTCCAAGCACCTTGTCCACATCATCAGGCCGCAACAACTGAAATTCATCCATTAATTGTGGACTCGACAGTATCTCCTCAGTAGAATCTGGTTCAATAGCAGAGTCAAGCTCATGACGAATCTGAGCGATTTTCTCCCTGAAATGCCTGGCAAAGTCGTCATAGCGGGCATTTGAGGGTGGTATGAGATCTTTCTTTGGGCCCGGATGTATCAGCCCTTGCACAGCTCATCATTTCTGCCCATTCTAAACACACTCCAACCATCAAAATCATGCCAGGACGCCTCATTTTTCTAACCCTAACCCTGCCCTGGTGCACACCCCTAACCCTAATATAGGGTAAAGTTCCATTGAAAAGAGGGAGATTTTGAAATAGCCTTCCTTGAGTAGCTTTTTCTGCACTGCTTATCATTTCTGCCCATTCTAAACACACTCCAACCATCAAAATCATGCCAGGACACCACGTTTTTCTAATCCTAACCCAGTGATGGTGAAGTGCACTTTGAGCAAGTGCCCAAACTGCAACCCAAAATGCACTGATTTATCACGAAGTGCCAACGCTGCAATAAAACCTGAAAACTGAGGTTTCAGTTTAGAAAAAACAACTCACAGCCATTCCAAGCAAATAGCTATCCATCCATCCATCCATCCATCCATCCATCTCCCTCCCTCCCTCCCCTTGGCAGTGCACTGACCGGCCATGCGAAAGCTCGGACGAGTCACAGTATGTGATGTCATCGCCTGGCACAGCTACTCCTTTCTGAGCATGCCCATGGCCCCTAAGTGTAGTGTTATCCAATGCGCCTCTGCTGGGGCGATGCTGGAGTGACTTGGCTCACACGCTGACAGAGAGGGCTCTGCGTGCCTGCTGTAGCACGCATGTCATAGGTTTGCCACCACTATACTAAAGGAATGGAAGGAATTTACAGAGAACCTGAATGAATTCTTTGTGTCTGTCTTCACTACAGAAGATACTTGGACCTGAATGGATATTGTAAGGAAGGGATTCTAAGGAACCAAGGCAAATAGTGGTGACAAAAGATCAAGTCTTAGACCTTGTAGATAAACTGGAATCCAGATAGTATACATCCTAAAGTTCTTAAAGAACTCAAATGACCTTTCAACAACAATACGTAACATGTTCCTGAAATCAGTCTCTGTACCAGAGGACTTGATAGTAAGCAGTCAGTGTGATACCAACTTTTAAAAAAGGGATTCAGGGAAGACTGAGAAAATTCCAGGCATAACCTCTGTTCTGGTTAACTTGGTGGGAAAAGGATAAGTCCTGTTGAAAAAAAATCAGCATGGCTTGGGAAAGATTTGGTACGTCCCCCTAACTTTTTAGAGTCCCTTTAAAGTGTCGATAAACATGTCGCCAAAGGAGATCTGGTAGACTTTGTTTACTTGGACTTCTAAATGGCTTGCAGTGAAATCCCTCTTCCCCAAAGACTCCTAAGCAATTCAGAGTTCAGGGAATAAGAAGATGGAAACACTTTAGTTCAGAAGACGGAGTAAAAAGAAGTAGCAGTGTACAGATGTAAACGGTTGTTGTTGTTAGTTGCAAAGTCGTGTCCGACCCATCGTGACCCCATGGACAACATTCCTGCAGGCCTTCCTGTCCTCCACCATCCCCCAGAGTTCACTCAAGCTCACACCAACTGCTTCAGTGACTCCATCTAGCCACCTCATCCTCTGCCGTCCCCTTCTTCTTTTGCCATCTATTGTTCCCAGCATTAGGCTCTTCTCCAGGGAGTCCTTCCTTCTCATTAGGTGGCCAAAGTATTTGAGTTTCATCTTCAGGATCTGGCCTTCTAAAGAGCAGTCAGGGTTGATCTCCTCTAATACTGACCAGTTTGATCATCTTGCTGTCCAAGGGACTCGCTGGAGTCTCCTCCAGCACCACAATTCAAAGGCCTCAATTCTTCGGTGCTCAGCCTTGCTTATGGTCCAACTTTCACAGCCATACATTGCAACTGGGAAAACCATAGCCTTGACTATACACACTTTTGTTGGCAGGGTGATGTCTCTGCTTTTTAGTATGCTATCTAGATTTGCCATAGCTTTCCTCCCCAGGAGCAAGCATCTTTTAATTTCTTGGCTGCAGTCCCCATCTGCGGTGATCTTGGAGCCCAGGAAAATAAAATCTGTCACTACCTCCATTTCTTCCCCATCTATTTGCCAGGAAGTGAGAGGACTGGATGCCATGATCTTAGTTTTCTTAATGTTGAGAAGTGAAATATTGTAAATGTCAGGGCAGAAAATTCTATGATATTTACTGATGGAGTCTAAGCCTGGGATCTGAGCTGAAGGTAAAGACCAAGAAATAGATCTTGGGGTTGTCGTAAAAAGCTGAATGAAAAATTCAATTCATTATTCAGCTGCTATGTAAAAGACATGGTTTCATGTTGGAAATCATTAGGATTGAATCAGAAATGAAACTGGTCCAATTAGAATGTCTTTATTCATATATATATATATATTATATGACTCTGCTTCAAAAGCTGTGTACATTTGTCATTACTGCACCTCAAAAAGATATTGTATATCTTGGCAAGATGCAGAAAAAGACAACTAAGATGGTCAGAATGCTAGAGCATCTCCCCTGTGAAGAAAGGTTGCAAGATCTGGCACTGTTTAGCCTTGAGAAAGAACAGAGACGATAGTCAGACAGCCATCTATGAAATTATGCATAGTGTGGAGAGAAAGTCGACAGGAAGAAAACCGCATCACTCCTTCATTAAAGAGGAACTCAAGGTCAGTGATGGGAGATTCAGGACAAATAAAATGAAGTATTTCTTCACAAAGCACAGAGTTAAGCTATGGAATGTGCTACCACAAGAGATCATGATGATCACCAACTTGGATGGTCAAGTTGGCAAATTCATGGAGGAGAAGACACTATAGCTACTACTGATTATTATATATTACTACCAATATCAGTAGTATGCCTTGCATACCATTTGCTGGGGAACATATGCAGGAACACAGGCTTTTGTATTCATGACCTGTTGCAAGCTTTCCATAAGCATCTAACTGACCGCTGTGCAAACAGAAATGCTAGATTAGATAAACTGCTGCCTTGATCTACTGTGACTTCTTCCATGTCCATATATGATGCTATCACAGCTCCTTTTGTGTTTTTTCTTTCTTTCACACCTTCTAAACTCAGGTGAGGGGGACAAAGAATCCCTGCTTGTAAGCAGTGCATGCATGGCACAGGTTCCCCTCTGCAGATGCCAACCCCCTACCAAGCAGAGGTGGGGATAATGGGTGCAGATATCCCCCTGCAACTGTTAAGGGGAACCAACGAATATG